AAGGCGTAAATAATTTACTCTTTCCGTACACGTCATTTTTTCAGTGGATCCCAATCACCCTCACATTGGGTAAGAGGTTTTTTTCAAAGGGAAGGTTTGATCGATCGTAATACCTGGATACTGTGGGAATATGTGAAGTGAACTTTTGCTTTTTGTGATATGAAATTGAGGATCACGTTTTTTTGGGAGCTGTATCAGAAGGTTATAGCATTAGGGAGAATTCTCTTTCCTATTGGTTGATCACTTCGCCTCCCATAGTGTGATTTTCTTCAGCTGAAAGTTCTCTTATTACTATTTTAGACTGTTCAGTGATTCGCTTCTTGATCAAGATCAGTTTTATGAGTGTTGTGCTCGCTGGTCTAGCTGCCACGGTGGGAATTCTCTTGAATTGTGCCGATGGCGGAAAAAGCATCCCTGGAAGCAAGGTAGGATTTAAATTAGACTCTTAGGCTGGTGTCAGAGTCCGCGATCCGCTCTTCGCGATTTGCGCGATTTTCGCGATTTGCGCGATTTTCGCGATTTGCGCGATTTTCGCGAAACCTGCGATGGATCACAGGAGTTGGAAGTGCCCGATGAATACTGCGAGGTGTTGTTTAATCCTGCTGCGAATTCTGCTTGGCAGTAAAGATTGGAAGACGAATGTTTGTGGTTCTACTTGTTTCATGTTCAATGTCTATTAGTTCATTGAAATGCTCTTGAATCGTTCCTATTTTTTTCAGGAATCAAACCAAACCAATCACAAAAATTGCAAGTGCCCCATTTGAACAATTGAAACACTGGATATGAAACAAGTGGAATCATGAGCAGTCTCCATTAAACCATAACCATCAAGCAGAAGTGACGGCGGGATTGGAGAACACCTTGCAGTATGGATGGGGCACTTGTGATTTCCGTGACCCGTCGCGCAAAATCGCGCAAATCGCGAAAATCGCGACAATCGCGAAAATCGCGCAAATCGCAAAAATCGCGAAAATCGCGCAAAGGATCGCGGACTCTGACATCAGCCTTAGTATGCATAATGTAAACAGCTATAACCTGGTGTTTCCAGCCGCTTTGCGCAGATTTGACGAATCTGGCCGAGTTCAAGAGCCCATCTCCTCAATTCCTTGCAAATGTTCAAAAAACTTATGGAACTGTGTTCAATGGCTACTATGCACGTGTACAGCCTACGGTATTGGCTGCAAAGAAGAAATGGAATGATTTCCATCGCGAGTTCGTCAAGTCTGATATTGGCCTCGTTATTGACAGGTACCTCCCTCTTCCATTTATTTGAAAGTGTAACGATCAAGTTTTTTTTTTCGCATAATTTTAAGTTATTTTCTCGGCGAAAGGTGGACCTTTTATCGGGAGTAGTGATGGACACTTCTTTTTTCATGATGGCTGCAATTTAATTTCTGTTTTTCCCATTAATTTCTGTTTTTTCCCAATTCCCGTTTTTTCCTGTTTCTTTTTTAATTTGATATTTTTCTTTTATTCTTAAGTTAGGAACCGTACACTTGCTTTCCTTCTTACAATTAACCGTGGCGAGTAAATAGAGCAAAATTTTCTAGAGAATAAAATCTGTTATGGAGAACTTCTCTTAGATGATTTGTAGGTAGCCTTTACCACGGTGCACTCACAAACTTTTTCGAATTCTTTTTTTTGCAATTCAGAGATTGAATTGGAAGATATGAGTTATCTTTTCTGTCGTGAGTGAGACATGAAGATTGTAATTGATGATTCAACAATTTCTTCATTATACCCTTAGAACATGAAGTAAATGATCGAGGCAGATTAGCTAGTAGTAAAAACTTGAATAAGATCCACGATTTAATGCATATCAGGAAATCCGATACTTTAAGGTATTATCACAAAATCCACGCGTTTGTCGTTGACACTTCATTGAAATTTGTGCGATTCCTGCAAACCCAGGTGAATTCAAGTCTACTGATTTTCCTGTTTTCTTTCTTTGCTATTTTATCTTCTTTGCTTAAATTCCTTTTGTCGCTTTAACCTTCCCAAATACAGCGAGTAGCACTCGAGCAGTGGTGGGAAAGTGATGGACGTGATCGAATAGGTGGTATCGTGGATACGATTCAAGTTACAGTCGGCGTGATGACAGAGATTATCAAGGATATGCTGCAATTAACTTTTGGTATGTTGTTTTTACTGCTCTTTTTATTTCACTTTGAATTAATTTTCTATAGTGGAATTTTCATTTGAATCGTGCTCGCTCTTTGTTCATCTTCTGCTTCCTTACCGATTAGAGTGCGTTTATACTCAGTGAAGATGTCGCAAGCCGCCTCTTTGAGGCATACGAACTAGCAGCAGCTAGGTCGTTTCTGCAACTGAAATCACTTCTTAGACTGACCTTTGTTTTGTTACGTTCACAACCTCTTACCTACCCAATAGGCTTAACTGTTCGGCTAGCTATTGGACGTTGCCCATTACAATGCTTGCTCAGGGAATCATCTTTAAAGCGCTAACTTTCAGAAGCATTGCAAGCGTTTTATCATCGAGTCGAGGTATTCGTTAGCAACTGGTCGAATCGTGGCTTAGCCAAAGCAATAGAGGCAGGTTTCTAGTACGTCGCGTACCTCACGGCGTACTTCTCGCTAGCCTTTCGAGTTTTGTTATGCTCACTTCGACGTGTTTTTTCACAATGTTGTTCTTTGCATGTTTTTGTTCTGTTTATTTAATTTTATTTAATGTATTTTTACCGGCGTTTTACTTTATGTGAAGTGACAGAGCAGTGTTTACATCGATTGTTTTCACCCGGTTCTGTTTTACTGCATGTTCAAAAAATTGAGTTGCCAGAATAAAGTATGGGTAAATGATGTTTGTGACATGCGAAACGTACAGGTTTCAAATAAATTTTGGGCGCAATGTCTCTTCAGTGGTGGGGGGGGGGGGCAGTCTGTTTTAAGACTAATAGGACAAAGCCTAACGGAGAGGGACGAATTCCGGACAGAATGGGAATTGTCTTCGCACTTTGATTCCTTCCTCTAGTCTACGGCTCATTCCTAAAACTGAGCGTCCACGTAAACCTGACTTTTATGTGCTACCCTTCCAAAAGATGATCTCAAGGATACTTGCTGATATATTCAGGAGTCGCCACCGCAAAGTCAGACTATGTCTTTAAGTTTTGTTTTGCAAAATGTTTTTCATTTTGTGAAATGCGGGATGTATCCAGTGCACTTTGTTTAGGGTTTTTTCAGCATATTTTGTGTAATTTAATTAATTTTGAGTACGTATGCCTAATCCACAGCCGTTTGCAGCGCAGTAAATACTCGTCACTAGGTAAATATGCCGTCAGAGTCAATATGCCGAGCTAGAATAGTCTTGCGGGTTTAGGTTGTGGCTTCGACGAGTAGTGTCTGGCTTCACTCCGTCGGGGAACAACTCAAGTGATTGTCATCGTAGTCATTTGTTCTTATTTATCCGTTCTAAGCAGAATATTTGGTGATTTTTGAATTTGGCTATAAAGGAAGTGCCTATTCATTGGGAGATGATCTGGCAGCCCCTCTATTTGTCCTTTTCGGAAAAATGAAAAGCTTGTAGAAGCCGATTTGTTTTTCAAAGAAATGGCGCTCGCCGTGTGGCGAATCTATGAATCATTTATGGTTTTTTTGCGAGCAACAATTTTTCACGGTGTCGGTCAATGTTTTTTTTTGCGAACCATTTCCATGTCAAACGGCATTGCGTTTGCGTCATTTCTGGCACTTGGCCAACGTCTCAACCGCGTTCTTCCTTTTTTATTGGTGTGGGAGCGAAATGATGTCTTCCCCTGGGCTTCGATAAGAACCTTTAATTTTATTTGTTTTCCTAGTCGCTTTAAAGAGAACATGTGTTTTACCATCTTTCTAAGTATATTTACTGGTAAACATGAGTGAGGTCACGTTCTCAGTGCCCACTTCTCCCAGATTTCAGACAAGGGTGAATAACGGTCGAGGAATTCCTCGACCATGGCTCTCTACTGTGCGAGAGTAGTGCCGAGAGTGAACATCGCGCGGAGAGCACAGACGGCTCGCGCATGGCGAGTGTGAATGTCCGCGCGGGAGAGCGTAACTGATCAGGCGAAAATCCTCGACGTGCCGTTGAGGAATCCTCGACGATATTCACCCTGCTCCAGACCGCCTCAAGATCTTATCATAAGCTTCCGATTCTGGAGTAACTCTCCTATGATCGCCCCGTTTACGGTGAGCGTTATGCACCACCCACGTGAGGACACCTTCGGCCATTGTTACAAGGCTTCCTACCCATTTCAGACATCATTACCCTATTATAGATATTGCTTATTTCCACCTGTTTTCACCTGTCGGTACGCTTCGTGGTCAAAGATGGTAAGACATCCCTTCAAATTTCATCTGTTTTCCCGAGGTTTGTCCCACGAAAAGGCTATTTCTAAATTGAGTGTTTCATGCTTCTGCCACAAGGTTTGTAGGTGGAAACTTTATTACGGCCA